AAGCGAATACGATTATATCGTATATTAGGTACTAGATCGTATTATATATATATATTTTTTTTTTCGTTCATTTTATTTATATATATATCGAGCAATTCTGTACAATAAATAAAGACTCTAGAGCATTTTTAAAACATAACACGGCGTACTTTCTTCGCGATTGCCATCGAAAAGTGTACACGCAATAATTTAACGAGTTTATCAACCCCAAGTGCGTATATCGTGTCGTTCGTGACAATTCATCGCCAACAGACGAATATTATTCAGTTGTTGTTCGCATCGAGGTTATATATACAGCGCACAAGAGGGTCTCTTTTAACTTTCCAAACAAATCGTAACAATCGTCTCGTTATAATTCGATAAATAATCCTCACCAACGCATTGTCACATGCGTAACAGACGTCGCTTGGGTTGTTCGGCCGTACCGACAAGCCGAACAATACATCGGTATTCCCGATAGACCAGCACGTCCCAAAAAAAGCGAGGTCTTAGCCGGCACGAAAAATACTTTACGACACCCAAAAACTCGACGCCTCTCATAAGCAGACCTTCAACAAGCAATATAACAAATGTAAGAACAAATTCCCCACTTTCATACCACCGCCAGACACACCCCAAACACACCGAAAAAATCAATGCTACGAATCGCGATGTACTTGTTGCGAGCACTCTTTTTCGAGTCAGACCATTTAAGGGTCTGTAACGAAGCGTTTTCTTTGCGTTATTCCAGAATTTTTTATGAGGAACTTATGAAAGTTACTGCAACCCTGTTTTTTCCTGCATACTTAATAACATTTCGATTACACTTTCAATTTTTTTGAAAACAAAAAGATTGAAATTAACTGAAGTGGACCGCTTTGAAGCTGCTCTTGAAAAAAAGCGGTGTCCAAAGGGTGTCCACTATTGGACGGTTTCTGATTATCTAAAACAAAAAATTCAGAAGGATTTCTTATTTGTATGTCCTTGATTATAGCCGGTACCAGAATGAAAGAAAGATATTGTAAATTTAAAAAATAACGTCACTTAGAAACTGAGTTTTGATTTTCATACATTTTTTTCGACCTTATGGGGCAGTCAAAATTAAAAAAAAGAGAAATATCTTAAGACAATTGTGGTAGGGGCGATGGCCACATGTGTCCTGGACATGTGTGCAGAAGTTGGCCTTAATTGGCGAAGTCGATCTTGAGATATCGTCGACACCATTTCGAAAAACATGGTTCTGAGAAAAACGCGATTGAAGTTTTCAGTGCAATTTAGATTCTCCCTTGATGTGTCACACTAAACGAGCTATAACTTCGTTATTTTGTTGAATACAGCTATAAAACTTCAGGAGTACATTCTTAAAGAGTTGCAAAAAAATAAAAATCGATTTTCTGAAACCGTCACACTAGAAGACCCCCTTAAGGAATCTACTCGGGATAGGGGACTCGGGTGGTGCTCGGAAGATACACTACAGTTTGCTATTAAAACTATGTATTTGTGAATGAACGTGAACAAAGCGTGAAATGCCTAAGCTTACTGATCGGAAAATTGTGTGTTGTGTCGTGTGGTGTTCGCTATTTTATAAACTACGTGTGTGCTGTGATTGGTGGTGTGAAACTGTCGTAGGTGGTGGAAGTGTGTGGTGATTGGTTTTTTCGGTTCAGGTGTGAGAGGCGTCGAGTTTTTGGGTGTCGTAAAGTATTTTTCGTCCCGGCAGTACCTCGCTTTTTTTGGACGTGCTGGTCTACCGGGAATACCGATGTACTGTTCGGCTCGTCGGTACGGCCGAACAACTCAAGCGACGCCTGTTACGCATGCGACAACATCCTCACCAACAACCTATAATTTCATTTCCTTCCCGTTTCTTTTCGTTTATCAACACATCGAACAACTCGCTCGAACGCATTCGCATTTTACTTACACGAACATTATATCCAGAGAAAACATGTAGTGCGCCAAACAATATTATCACACTATCTGTGGGGCATTCTTCTTCTTTTTTTTTTTTCTTTTTTAATTACAGTCGACCGATCGTTTTCGTTTCTTTCTTTCTTGCCTTCTCTTCAACCGATACTCGTCCACAGATAGCGTGTTAATTCGTATTCAAAATCGAAGCGTATAGAAAAAGGTAAACGGGGCGAGCGTAGGAATTTTGTACGTTCGGAATTGTTCGTATAAAAAGGCATACGAAGACGCAAAAATACTGGCAGAATTGAAAGGTTTTCTTTTTCCATATAAAAAGGATCGCCTGAACGAATACACTTGTTAAGTATAAAAAGATACCACGGTGCGTTCAGCGTTTACGATAATTCATTCGAATGGGGAGAAGCGAGTGCGATTGAGTCAAAAGGACACGGCTACTCGATTCAATCGAACCTTCTTTTTTTCTCTGTTAGGTCAAATCTTCGATCTTCCGCGAGAACACGAATAATACACTCTAACGATAAGTTCAACTATTTATACAATCGCACAACACGACTTGTTTCTTCCGCCATTGCGAAGTGGAATGGAATTTTCACGCTAATTGGCGAACTTCCGTTTTATTTCCTAAGAACGAGCTCGAGATAGAAGAAATACGCACAGGATAAATCGTGACATGATCTGAGAATTTAATTCGTGTGAAAAATTTCATTTCCAATTTCGTTCGGTATTTCTCTTTCATGTTCAATCACAGATTTCGGAAGAATCGATCGCTTCGATCATTTCACAATGAATCCTGCCTTTTTTTGTTTATTTACTTTTTTTTTTTTCTCTTGTTAAACTTTCACGTTTACGGCATGAAAGAAACGATACAAGGAGCCTCCTTTGAATTTCTCCTAATTCTTCGAGTATCGTTTACTTTCGTTTTTACGATTCAACGAGCGCATAGATGAATCTTATAATTGGCTACACGATCGAACCGCGTCCAATCGAACGCGCGTCCACCTCGATATATTACTATTGTCTTCTTAAATCCACGAACCGAGAGATACATACAACATGCACTGCTATCTAACGTGACTAATGTTCACGGGAAGCTCGTTCGCTTCTTGAACGAGGTTTATCTCTGTTGGAAGAACGAGTTTAACCCTTTCAGCCTCTGTTTCTCACCGGAATCCATTTACCACCTTTAAAACTAGCATCGATTTTCCCTTTGATATGTTTCAATGAACAACTTACGAACATTCGGGAATAATTCTAACGAATAAAGGGTAAAATAAAATTCGAGGAAATCAGGAAATAAGTGAAGAAAAAGAGGTCAATCGAAGAAAATTAATCTAATTGAATTTTTCTACTTCGACTAATAGACAGCATAGTTTCTGAATTTTCTCGTCATTTGTTCTAGAATTGTGTACAACTGAAGAACATACGAACATTCTGAAATAATTCTAACATCGGAAATAAAATGAAAATCAAGAAAATTGAGAAATAAGTCGAGAATAAAAGAAAAATATTTCTTTAAGGAAGTACTTAATCTGTTGATTAAAAGAAATGAATCCAATTCAATTCTTCACTTTAATTAATGAACGTCATATTTTCTGAATTTTTTTCTGATTCTCCCCGGAATTGTACAACTGAACATTTTCTTGTTTCCAGCCAGTTCTAAATTACTAAACTAAAGCACCACTGGTTCAATTTTTCCCCCTATGATTCTCCTCTCTGAGCTACAGAAACACTAAGTACAAGGTAGTGGAAAAGCTATATTTGTATGCATCAAATGTGCTGGTTGGCTCAATAAAGCCAGTTGTAAATGTAATATAAATATAAAGAAAGAAGAAGAAAGAAAAAGTGTTTCTTCCCAGAATTAGACGATTGAATATTCTCCTGTTGCATCAAGTATTTTCCCCACTATTTCCAGTTAATTTTAAATTACCAAACTAAAACACCACTGGTTCAATATTTCTCCCCCTATGATTCTGAATGTTTTCTTTGCTGCATTACTCCCAGAAAATTTTAAATTACTAATCTAAAAGATCACCGGTTCAATTTCTCTCCCCCATGATTCTGAATTTTTTCCATTTTTTCAACAAATTTTAAATTACTAATCTAAAAGACCATTGGTTCAATTTTTCTCCCCCGTGATTCTGAGTACTTCCTTTGCGGCATCGAGAATTTTTTCCATTTTTTCAACAAACTTTAAATTACTAATCTAAAAGACCATTGGTTCCATATTTCTCCCCCCCACGATTCCGAATATTTTCTTTACTGCATCGAGTATTTTCTCCACTATCTCCAATCACTTTTAAATTCACTAAAATCAGATATGTACAGTGAAAGAAACGTCACGTGCACTCGAAATTTTTACACCTTCGTCCCAGAGCTGAAAGGGTCAACAGAGAGCGTCGAGAATTGAACACTTGGATCCCCCTCGATCTAATGGAAACGACGCACCCGTCATAAATACGCGTCTGGACGGGCTTCGAGTCCGTTGTTGCTTCAGTCGAGAGGACCCATGGGATCCTTCGAGGAACAAAATCTCGCGACAACGAGTAAACTATGTACCATTATCCAAAGGAATCGTCCCCCTGGTACCTGGTATTGTCCCGAGAATGAAAAAAGAAATTGTAACGTCGATCCTTTCCAACGATACGAAAAAGAAAAGAAAAAAACAATTCCTCGGTCGATCGGTGTTGTCCATTCGTTTCCTCAGATTCTCGTTATGATCCCGTTGCAGGATTCGCGTGCAACAGACACACGAGACGCGGGATCGTTAGCTGCGTTGGCAATTAAGGAGCCTTTCTTCCACGATCAAAAGAGAGAGCCAGGGCTTCCCTCTGCCATCGGCCACGTCGTTAAATCGACCCCGTCCTTTTTCCATCATTTTCCTTTTTTCCCCTTCGAAATAGCTTGTCTCTCCCTCTCTCTCTCTCTCAGATCCTCTCTTGCGAAGAGAGAAAAAGGACAAGATTTATTTCGTGGAGAATTGTCAGGACGGAGTTGATTTTTATTCAAAGGACTTAACAGTGAAATATTCCTGTACTAGAGATCGTTTGGGATAGAGAAATGTAGAAGGAGCATACGTACAATATCGACTTGGCCAAGCAGCTAACGGTTCCCCTAGAATATTTGATTCTTTTCGTTTTTGGTTCTTGCTTTTTTCGAGAGAGAAAGACGATTACCACTACCAGGAACCAAAGAGAAGACTGAACGACACTAGTAGCAGTGCTAACCAGCCGATTAAATCGAAGGATCCTCTTCTCCAAGCCGCGTTGTTCATGCAGGTCTCTCGAATACTGACGATCTTTAGACCACGACGACTTAGGAGGTTGTGAACGCCACGCTTGTCGCTCAGCTGAAGGATGTGCTCTCGAGAGAGTAACAGTGAGTAGAGCTGGTTGTCCGGGCTCCGGGAGCAGAATGTCAGCACCATGTTCGAGGCCACCGCCTTCATCACGTGCACGTTCCCGGTGAACTGGTTGTACACCATCTTCACCAGGGTACCTGTTGGAATCGTTGTGAATGATTAATCTTACAAGTTTCTACCTTGCTAGACCTCTCTTCTCCAATCGTTTTGCGCTCGTTTCGAAGGTGGAAAATTGATTTTAGAAGATTTTAGGAGATCAACCCCTTTAACGATCGGATTTTTTCAAATTTATCCTCCAAAAATACGTGTAAGAACTGTCAAATTATTAGAGCCATAGTACGAAAAATATCTTTTCTGTGTTTGCGTAGAAATAAAATCACAATATCGAGGTTTTTACTCTGAATAATTTTTAACTAACGATTGTTCACTAAATATTCACAGAGAAAGTTAAACTTAGCTTATGTAGCTGTCAAAAGTGCAGTTAAGATGTAACAATAAAGTTAGTATTTGGTAGCGCTACCGCTTGCTGCAATTACATTCCTTTGGGCATATTTTCAATACGTTTTAAGTAATTTACTGTGTATTATAAGCAGTAAAAATAAGTATCACGAGTGCTTGATAATTACGAATTAGTTAAATAATAAGAACGTGGCCCACCGATGGCTCACGCGGCACTCAAAGTGTCAAAGAATTTTTTATTTATCTACAAATCATCGAGTTGATAATTCTTCGAATACTTAAGTAAGACATATGCGTCCCACACTTAGGTTACCAAAGGATTAACGAACGGGATAAGGATAGTAAGTCAGTGTTTTCAGGGATGGAAAGAGAAATATTTAAATAATATAGTCATAGGCGGTGTGTACATTACGTTAGACAAAGAGACACACGAAATGATCAAACAACAATGTTCCTCAAGATTGTTATTTTTACGTTCAATGTTCATTACGGTCCAAAGGAATAATTTCACGCTGTGTTCAGAGACGCAATACATCCGATAGTTTCGACTCGGTCGTTTCACGATTCAGGTCAAATCACCGGCGGAAATCAGCGAGAATCGGTCTGATTATTGTCTACGACGACTGGGAATGCCGGCGGCATTGCTCCCGTTGGAAATCTGTCACATTACGCGTCATTATGTCGTTGACGATGTACTTACGCCGATGATTAGGAATACGCAGAGACAGGATTACGGGATTGCCGCGCTTACGTGCTCTATTGTGTACACATCTGTACTATGTGCGTCACGTTTTAGTCCGATCATTGATTTTTCAATGACTAACCAATAGTAGTAATGTTCTCTTTAATACGTGACGATTTTCATACTTCGTCGGTTGAAGCCGTTCTGTCGTTCTACCTTCTTTTTTCGAATAATTGAAGAAATGTTGGTTAAACCTTCGAGTACTGTGCTGGGGTCAACTCTGACCCACCTGGATATTTCACTAATACACATTCACGGTCACCTGAGCTCAAAATCGTTATCGTACTAATAACTACTCGGTTTTGAATTACGCTCGAATTTTCGTTCGATAACCTCGTGAATTATAAAAAAAAAAAAATGATATTTATTCTACATTTATATTGTTGCATGTGTGGCGGGTACGTCACTATTCTTCCACGCGAATTTTCTCTTTTCCAACTCCATTCAGATTTTTAGTTTCCGTTCTTTTATTTGGTTTGCACTAGGACGAACGGCCCTGTTTTCTACAAATTTTCCGTTTCTACCGCTTTCTCCACATTTATCTTAATCTACCGTCCGTTCGAAATAAGAATAACCTCGTTTCGCTCATGGGACGTACCTAAGGCAGGGCTAGCACCACTAAAACGTCCAAACCCCCACTTAACCGCCTACGTTTTTCTCCGTCTTACCCTCTGCTACGCTCTCTGCCTGTGCGCAGAACGGACGAGGATCGGTCCGAGATCGAGGTTATTCTTATTTTGAACGAAGTGTATCTCTACTCCTGTCTTTCTGTCCTACCAATACAAAAACTCAGTACACCTACACCCCGGCTCAGTTTTTCTTCTACCAGGGGTAACGCTGAATTTAAAACAGTTAAGGATCGTCGTTGCGTAGAAACAGAACTTTATTTGACAGAGGTTTAACGTTACGCGACGTGCGCGTGGTAAAACAGAGAATGATCCGAAAATGGAGAAAATAGGGCTGTTTAAGGGTTTAGAGGAGATGAACTTTGGGGCTAGGACTATGTAGGAGAGTTGAGAGAAGAATTGAAAGGTGAAGAGTCCAGTGTGAGTAACGGCGAAAGTGGGTGACTCGTTGTAAATACAGATAAAACTAACACTATGAAGGAAAATATTTGAGGGTGTAACAGAACGATTGAGAAAACTATCGTCGGTTAATCGTACGCACTCGTGTGCAAAAGTACAACGTGACGTGCATAGAGAGAGGTAACAATTCGTTCTTTTTTATTTTCAACGACAAAACGAGCCGAGTGGCGACATTTCGCCGAACGAAACGCATTATTAGCCGGCGAGAATAATTGTCATGCGTCTAGTACGTGACAATCGCGATAACGTCAAACAGTACGGACTATCGTATTATTACAGCGGTGTCCATTAAGCTGTTTCGTTGTGTAAACGATCACTGGCTCCGAGATATTGACGTTTAATCGTACGAAATTAATTGTAGCAGCTGTTGGACCGCTTGAAATTCCCCCTTCCCTTAATGATATCCCATTCGCGATAAAATCAAATCGTTCTGCCTATCACACCGACGGTCTCCTGCTTTATTTTCTGCCAATTAATACGATGTTTCGACGATTAAACGCGAACAGCGGAGAGACTTACGGAAAATGGAGAAGGAACAACATTTCCGACATTTCCTCGATTCTGTTTACTGCTTACGCTTTAATTCATTTTTCATTCTCCAAGTCGATTGCTTTTATCGAGATTGTATCCATTTCCCGTAGAACAAACAGCGGAGAACGGGGAATCGTAGCTGTGATAATGGGATCACAGAGAGATACAGAGAGAACTGTGCGAATTTTGTTGTTGAAAAAAAGTAAGAAGTTGTTTCCGAAAGCGCGGCGAATTCGAGGTATTTTTGACGGATTTCCGAGCATTCCAGAGGAACGAGTTGTTGAAATATCAATTAGTTCATTCGTTTATTGATTTCGTTGGTTCAAAATAGAGGCGGGCAAGTAGACTTTTTTTTTCTCTTTTGTACACTGTTGGCACACTCGTTGTGTCCGTACAGAAAGAATTATGTGATTTCAATTACATTTCTTTGTCAAAGTTAATATCACATACCGGTGCATTCGATTAAAATTCGATTTGATCGCTGTTAGATAGGCGCTTTGACATTTTTCGACTGTGCTGCTCACGATTTTTGCCACACTTTTGCCTTAATTAAAGCCTTGGTCCCCGTTCTCTGCGTATTTCCACCTTAATCTTTAAAATGATAAATCGTTGAACTTAAGTTTGGAATTTTATTTAAAAAATTTTAAAAAATTTAAAAACGCCAAAACAAAAGATCTTGGCACACTTTCGCCTTAATTTTTCTTCTTTGCGTATTTCCACCTTAATTTTTAAAGTGATACATTGTTCAATTTTAATTCAAAAATTTTAAAACGCCAAAACAAAAGATTTCGCGGCCGTAATCGAACGTCTACCGCAGCGGAAGGGTTAAAGAGAGAGGTTCGCGTAACTCCTTAAAAATCAAATGATTTTTGAAAATTTTTCCTTTCGAAACTTTTCGGATATTTTATCGAAGATCTAATAAAGTACAAGATATTTTTTCTGATGTAAAATAACTCGATTATCGTAAACTGATTTCTACCCGGTCCTAAATTTCCTCGACAGAGAAAGCTAATCAAATTGGAGAGGACAAATTTCGTAAAGTTGAAGGTTTCGCTGCGACCTACTCTCAGATATGGCTATACAGAAGAGGAGGAGTAACGGAGAGCCTCGAAAAATCTCGATCCGCGAACGCATTATGCGCCACCATCATTTCGTTGATACCCGGTGGACGGAAGAATGGAAACTGCCGCGTGATGAAAAAAAAAAGAGGGAAAGAAGGAGGTTGTAAGGGGCTTTTGAAAAATGATTTTCCGCGTCGACGGTTTCTCGCGGATTTTCTCCGTTCTCCCTTAACACCCAGTGGATAGAGAAGGAGAGAGAGAACGGTGCCAGGTTATAATTGGATGGGGCTGACTTCACCCCTCTATAGGTGAC